CCTCCTCAAACTCCAAAATTTTGTTAACCACTGTAAATATATTAAAGGCTTTTCTGAGCTCAGTGCCATCGCTTCTCCAAGCCCTGCGAGTTGCCAGAACAGGGATTTCAGAAACACTAACTAAAACATCTTGACAAGCTAACCGGTTTTTAGAAGTGGAGTAGGTGGGCTCAGCTCCAGAGCCTGCACGCTGTCGGGGGAGATGAAGCGGAGGGAACAGAGCGGATTAACGCCGGTGCCAGGGATCCGCACATCCCGGACCTGCTCTCATCCCTGCCACAGCAGCACTGTGTCCTGAGCCAGCCGTCTCTGGCTGAGCCCCACAATCTACCTGTTCCTTTCAAACAATGTGCGTTTTCCTCCAGGTCTGAGGGTTTAAGCTCAGCTTTATGACCTGCACCTATTCAGGAGCGTTTGGCAGATGCTGAGCAGGAACGGACCTGAACAACGCAGCCTTTGAGGAAGTAGTTTTCAGTTCAGTCAGAGTTCAGTATTTTGTGTTTTCATTATGCTTTCCATGAACTGACTGAAAAAAATTAGCCTCTTTTCATCTCACACGTTCTGTGGTTGGCTTTAACATCTCCCAAACAGGGAACTTGAAACTTCCTTCTGGTGATGTTATGATTCCAGTTGCATCTCACGTACACAACATAAATGCCTAAAAATACAAATTCTCAAATCTTTCTTGCTCGGGCAAACTCAAGAACAACAGCAGTGAACAATTAGCATTTTTAGAATGCAGAATTTCAAATACTTACAGTCACCCTAATTTTTAACTCTCTCCTTGTCAAAACACTAACATGCATTTCAACATGCATTTTAAATTAATTATTTTGTTTTCAATATGTTTTTACTTCCTGAATCTGTGCAAAAGGAATTCAGCATTATCTGATACACTGTTGCATTTTTGACCCAGGCCCTAACAGAGCTTGAAGATTCTTACAAACAGACGAAATCAATTTCTTAGCTTTGAAATTTCTGGCATATTGTGGTTCTTTCTGAATGTGAAAATGAACAACTTGATATACAGCTCATGTCCATTCATAGCTTTGAACTATCCGTAACTCTCTTTTGGGTTTTAGTAAACACATTCCTTAAAGTCTGTGGCATGTTACTTCTCCAATTTTATCTGTATTGCCCTGGGTCTTGTTCCTGTACTCTCCTTTCTCTTAGATTCAGAAATATTTCCCTATATTTCCATTTCCTTTTGCACCTTGATCTATTGAGAGAAAGCTGCCAATGGGCTGTTAGGAACAGGATTTTTTTTTAAGTGTATATGTGAACTTAAACACTCTGAAAAAAGAGCATTTTTTGTTGTTCCATGCCTAGATATTAAACATAATTATATTTAGATATTAAACATAACTGTATTTGACAACTGCAAAGAGCATCAGTGGCAGAAGCTATTATACTCTAAGACCAAAGCCACAAATCTGCCTGCTAAAAGGACTTCCTTACTCCAGTTATCCCCCTCATCTGAACTGAGAAAACTCCTCAAGGAAGTTCACCTGCTTCTCAAGTGCTGAGCACGTGGAGAATCCCAAGAGGCAGGATGAAGCAGAGCTGGATTTCCAGTTGGCAGGAACATTCTCTGTGCCCTGCATGGGACTAGTGATGTTTAACAAGCAATTCTTGACAAAGGATTTTCCTTCCCAGGGGCTCAGCAGGTTATGTAAGAGGATACTTGACACCTTCTGAAAGAGAAGGTTTTCCTTTATCTGAAACAGACTTTCCTGTTTCATATCTGACACCTTCTTCTTTCATGGTTTTCCATTTTATCTTGTGACAAAGCCATGTGTTTTAGATTGATTCCATTTGAGTCTGAAGATGGCAACCAAGGAAATATCAACCACTTGTTTTTCCCCTTCAAACATACCATCAGTTGATGAACAAATGCATCCAAAAACCCCCACCCCAAGCCCTGATTATGTTTTAGATGCTACTAAAAAAAACATGCCAAGAAGAGAAACCCAGGCTAAAAATAAAAATAAAAAATTAAAATAATAATAATAATAAAAAAGTATATTTTCCTCTTGATAAGCCAGAAACCAGTTGTAATCTTACTGGTAGATATTAAAAAAAAAAAAAGCAACAACAAAAAAACCCCAAAAAACAAAAAACCAAAACTTATCTAGTTCACTTCATGCTCATGCTAAAGTTGATCCACTTAATTATTTCTACCATTATTATACAGCCCACTGCTGCTTTTTATCTGCTTGAAAAAAGTGTCAGTGTTACAGGAGAGAGATTTTTATGCTCAGAGGACCTGGGATTAGAAGAACAGTCATTTTGATATTGGAGATTCATCTTTGGCACCAGACTGCTTTTAACACGCAAAAAAATGTTTATGCTGACCTGTGTCCGTGTTACGAAATAATTTCAAACTCTGGGATGGTAACAGATGTTGTAGTCCAAAGAATGAAAACTGCTGGTTAAGGATAAAAAAATCTTCCAGTGTTATTAAAAAACAGAAGAAAGCACATGCCATAATAGGTCAGTTTAATGGCATTGTTTGCAGTAAAGCTGACATTTCAGGCATAATCTGCAGTGCTCACTTGAAGTAGGACATTTTGCTGGGCAGAGAAGGATTTGATACATTCTTTTATATTGCTGTGTCAAATTGGATTAGAACATAATAAAATGGAGAATGTAAAATAAAGGCCTTTGGGCTGGCTGGTTAGGCAGTGTAATAAGATGCACAAGGAATTAAAATGAATTGTACTCCTCAGAAGTATGACAAACTTGTCATGTGTAGTTTGTGTGGAGCTTCCCTTCTTGTCATTCATTTCCTAGGTTTCCCCTTCCTGTGTGCACTTTTTGTTGACCTACATAAAGTAAATTCCCTTCAGTGACTTTGCCCAGCATTTTTCTGTTCCCTAATTATTATTTGAAACAAGACGATGCTCAAACATGAATTATTGAAAACCTGTTACAGCTGACACAGTTTTGATTTCCAACCTTAAACTGCCCAACGGGGCTCAAAACTTTGCCAACATTTCTTTCTGAGTTTCACTAATGCTCACAGAGTAGCCCTGGATGAAGATCCAGCTTCTGCTGTCAGGCTGAGAGATATCTCAGCTGCACAGACAAGAGAACAGGCTGAAACTTGGTTTCTTTAATGATGCATGGAGTATTTCTCATAACCTCACAGAATGAATTCTAACCTTTGAAGTTCTGGAAATGTGAATTGGTAAGCCACACTTGCATTTATCTGATACTCTTATCTCAGAAGTCACATTACCCAAAATGGGATGTGTCTCCTCTGCACCATGAGTCACTTGCTTTGAAAATGCCTCTGCTAGGTGGAGAGCCAGTGACAAGTCTGGGTGGCAGGTCGTGTGCTCTGTTTGGATAAACAGGGTTACACTTCATGGGAGAATTGGTACCAGGAGGAATTAATAAATTACTCAAGTCCTGAATTTCATTTCAGATATTACAGAAAATCTGAATACAAATGATATGCCGTATCACTTTTGAAATTTGGAAGAAATGATTCAAAAGAAAATACCAGAGCCAATCTTTTGCCTAAGTTAAAGCAGGGAAAAAGGACCCCTTCATACCAAAGCAGCCCCAGTGTGCATGCACATTCAGCTTTCAGCTGGCTGTAAAAAATGAAGTTGATCTTTGGCCACTTAATGCTGTATGAAGGCAGCCTTTCACTTGGAATGACTGTCAGCTGCTCTGTCATATCCTTACTTTTCCCTTGCAGCTGAAAAGCAGTAACTTCTCCCACAAAAGCCAGGTTTGTCCTCCCTGACACCAAGTGTCCGTGCCCCTGCCTGTACCCTGAGTGAGGAACTGCTTGTGCTGCTGCTGCTGCACTTCCATCCTCGTGTGGGACAGGATTGTGCGGAGAATTCACCTTAAAACTAGGAAAATATCCATTTTCATAAAGAATTTTCCAAGGGGAAAAAAAAAATAAATTTAACAAATTTGGTGTGTAAAATGGGCATGTTACCAGACCACGGAGGTATAAGGTGAGGGTCTGAATTCAGGCAAGTCATTTGTCTCAGAACATCCTTTACCTTTCAATGACTTCTCATTCTCAGCTAAGCAGATGCATCAGCACTTTCCTGAACTGAGGTCTAGCAAACTTACCCTTTGATCTTACTGCTAATGATGTCTGGTTGATTTGACTCTAAAATGTGCACTCCACTGGAGTGTGGTTTGACATAGCAAATGAAATATTTACTGACACTTGGCACCGGTGCCTTCACCCCTGTGGATTTCTGTAATGGATCATTCCCACTGAAGGTCTGTCCTCCTGAGGTGGGATTCATCTCCAATGGCATTACAAGGCTCCTGCTCTGAGTAGAAAGCTCCTTCTTTTTTGGAAGCAATTTCCATGATTTTATACTTAATCACTGTTTGGATTCCTGCACAGAACTTGCTAACAGATAACTGAAATACAGACTGCTAAAATACATTCCTCATTTCCCTGGGAACACAGCAAAGACAAACAAAGAGTTAAAGCAATTTAGTGGGTTTCAGTCTCTCATGGAGCAGCATTGTATGAACTCTGTTTGGCTGGATTATAGCTGTGGGCTTTTCTGACTTTATGAGAATAGTTTTTTTGAAGAACTGAAGATTGCTACATAAGAAATGTTGAATCTGCAGTTCTGGCTGATTAGTGTGCTGTAACTTACATAAAAAATCATGCAAAACAGGAAGACAGGCAAAATAAGAAAAGCAATATTTCCTTAAGTAAATTCCAGATTAAGTAAGATTAAAACATTCTCCGGCGTTTCTGCCCTATCAGCAGGGCAATGACTAAACCCACTGTCTCCACATAAAACATTCTTTAATATAACCAAAGAACAAGAAATGAGGACTGAAAATGTACTGTCAATTCCCCTGGATTAAGGTCAAAGCTTCAGAAAGAGAGAGGATAGAGTATTTTCCTTCACAGACTCAACAGACAATTTCAGTTATAATCAGATTAGGGAAATAAAGTCAGAAACAAATAAAATTCAAAAAGAAGAAAAAAATATAATACTTACATTGGTGACATATTCAATATCCTTCCAAATATTACATTCCCTGGGAAAATCTGCCAAATCTAAAAAATTATCCACTACCACTTGGCCAATCAAGTCGTGCCTGGAGAATCTGTCAAAGTCATACACAGAGAAATGGAGTTTCCTCGCGTTGAGATCATTGTACGGGACAGTAAATAAAAAAACTTCATCAAACACTGGATTTAGGGTCTTTCTGTGCACTTTAGTCTGGTGTTTTGTTTTCCTGTCGGGGAGCAGATAGATCTTCACGTACGGATCTGAAGTTCCAGAGAAGTCCTTTGCTGGCAGGTTGACGGCCTTGTGGATCTTCACTATCAGCTGCTCTAAATCACAGTCATACTTGAGGATGAAGTTGAGTTTTCCACAGGCCTTGCTGTTGCTCCTGCGCCCGTCGTCCGTGTCCAGCGATCGCTGCTTGTACAGCTCCGGCTTGATGCGGCCGATGCCCGTCAGCTGCTCCTGCTTCTGAACCTGCTGGATGTTGAAGTCAGGGTTGGACAGGTTGAGCTGTCTCCGGAGTGAATTGTGCCTTAAAGCAAAAAGGAAAGAGTTGAAACAGGCTGTGAACGCACACCCAAGATCCTGCTGGCACCTGGCGTTTCCGCGACGCGCGGCGGGGCCGGGTGTTTAACATAAACCGTGAGACCCAACGTTCTGAGAGCCCACCTTCAGCATCACACTGGTAATGCCACATCATTTTCTGCTCCCACGTCCCAAGCTGGGCTGAAATGGTTTGCTGACCACCCCAACAATCGTTTTCCTTTTTTCTCTCTCACCTGATGTAATAAACTCTGCGGCACTTTGGCTGAAAAGCTCCTCTACTTTCATTAGCTGAGGATAAGAAGCTGCTTTTAGCTTTGGTCCAGTGAAATTTAATAATTCACAGTTACTGTGACTGAAATTTCTCCCTCCTGGATGGTAACAAAAATCAAATTTGCAATTCCTGTTGAGGTGGGGGGATGTGAAAGTTGGATTAGGCAAAACCCTAATCTTCTATGACTTCCACTTTATTGTTCCATTTCTATGCAGCCATCACTCAGTGCATAGGAGCACCAGGAGCTCAGGTTGAACACAGAAAAATCATGTGGAAAATGCCTACACAGGATTAATCCACAACTATTTATATTGAATGTAATCAGCAATAGCTCCTCTGCTATAATTGTTCATTCATTCCTGGTAAATATCTGTTTACCCATGCTTAAAGCAGGAACAGCCTCTTATGTGCTATCCTGATTTTTTTTTTCCTCTTGTTGTATAATAAATACATAATCTTATGGCTCTCCATTAGTCATTTCCAGGATAAAATATTATCGTGTCACCAAAGAGAAAAAATAAAATTCAACCTTTAAGCTCCTCATGGCAGTGAGAGGTGCAGAATATCCTGTGGAGGAATAAAAAGAAGAGGCTTGCAAAGAGCCACTGGGCTAGTGCTGTACCCTCTCCCACTGAAGTGCCTCTGCTTTGACTCAGATATTTCCTGGCTCTTCACATGCTGATCCTTATTCTTGCTGTATAAAAAATAATCCTTTTATCACCTGCCCCTGCACAAACTCTCAGCCTCCCCCTCTCCTATTCCCTCCTGTGCTGGTTCTCCAGCTCCCCCGGACACTTCACTGACTCCTGTTCAGCCACTCTTCACCCCACAGTCATGACTGTGGCTAAAATCTACGATTTTTTAATCCTGTTTCTAGCTCTTGCAAGAGTTGCATTAGCTTGCCCTACTTTTCTTCTTCGGAAAAATCTTTGAGGAGATATTACTGAGTGTTCAGCACCAGTGCTAAGTGCAAATGAATATGCTTTACAAGCTAAATCTAGGCTGTCCTGGTGCTTTTAAGGGACGCAGGGCTCTGTGTTATCCAGCTCCCGAGGGAAAAGCACCGATGAGACAGTAGTTGTGATGCCTTAGGATTTTAGCTTTTATATTTTCCATGTATTTGTAGTCCTGCAATTCTTTAGTGTCTTCCTCTAAACTCCATACAGAGTGTTAGCTGCCGTTCTCCCAGTCTGGTCAGACAGAACAATTCCCCTCCAGGCCTGGGAATCCAGGACACCTCACTGTCTCAGGCCCTGGCAAATGCAAACAAAAGTGAGTTGGAGGGAGAAAATTTGGGGTAAATGACTTCATTACCTGAAGCTGTAATTGGAGGATTAACCCCCAATATACAAATGGACCAAACTTACAAAAGTGTGAAAACCTGCGACCCATGGTCTATTTTTTTGGGTGTAGCCCCTGGGGGGGAGGGCTTTGTCTGCCCAAAATGCACCTGAAGGCCCTTCAATAAATAGACATGGTTTTTATTCCCTTAATTTTGCCTGGCCTCTGTTTTTAGGCAGTCCCAACAAGGCATCAGTTGGGAGAAGAATGGAATAGGATTGTGATGCTGTTGCTTCGACCTACGAGGTTTGTGCACCTCAGTGAATAACTTTTGTATATTTAACATTTTTTTTAAAAGGAACACGGCTAGAAGATGATATATATATCTCTTAGATCAGCGTGCCATGCTTTTTGGCCCGTATTCATGAGTAACGGAGAGAAATGGGAGTTACTGACCGGTCAGACGAGGTGGGCTCGGTGATCTGGCGCTGCATCCGCACATTGGGCACGCAGTTCTCCTTGGTCCCCGCCTGGGTGTCCAGCGGGAGGTCAGGGGAGGTGTGGCTGATCTTCATGGAGGCCTCGGGGTAGGCAGCGGGCTGCCCCAGGTAATCCTCGCTGTAGTCGCGGTCATTGGCGTCCGCGTCCGCGTAGTGCAGCGGCTCCTGCTTGCTGTCCTTGTTCCCGAAGGGCAAGCCCCGCTCCCGCCACGGGATCCAGCACAGCTTCCAGGACACGAACAGGGACACACCAAACAGGGCCAGGCCACAGGCAGTGACAACCAGGGACAGCAAGCTGATGGAGATATCTGCAAAGGAGAGAAGCGCGTCCGTGTCACGCCTCGGCGCTCGATGGAGCTCGGCATCTCCGGAGCGCCGGTGCGCGAGGCAAACGCCTCTGGATTCCAAATTAAATTCTGCTCCCTGCAACAGCCATAAAATACAAACTTATTAAAAGTTCAAGTTTCTTTCCCCACCAAGGGAAAATAAATAATTTGGAATTCAGCATAAGACTTGGGCCTAGTGTATAATTTCCCTCCAAAAGCGGGGTGGGATGAAAGGTGAAAATGTGAAAAGGGTACTTCTAAATTTGAAAAGAGCTCTTCTAAATGTGAAAAGGCTTGTTCACTTGCTCACTCAACTTCCAATTGATGACAGAGCCGTGCCTGCAGCACATTTTGTCCTTTTTTTCGCTTTTTCATTTCATTTTAGTGCAGTTTCCTCCACCTGTTTTACCAGTTCTTACTAGCTTCTCTTCCAGAGCCTGTATTAGGCTCAAACACCATGAAAATATGCACACAAGCACCTCTGTGACATGATTTTTTTAGGTATTTCACTGATGTATCTTGGTTTGTTATTTTAATTCCATTCCATCTAACTTTAGACTCATTTCTATCTTTGTAAATTATTTTTGACTGTCAATGCATGGCTTGCTCTTCGAAATTTAATTAGGATACAAATATCTCTTCAAAACTGAGTTTTTTCTGGTTTTTTTTAGCTCCAAAGTCTCTTCCTTTTCTTTTTCCAAATTTCTGGTATAAAAAGGAACGTGGAGATGAGTTTTCTGTTGCTTTTCCCCACATTTCCAGCATTATCCTACTCCATCAACACAAATAAGTTACAACTGGGAGTGGGTTTTGCTCTGTTTTGCTTTAAATTGCACGTTAGGAAAATGACTCAGTGGAACAGCTGTTTTTGTGGTTACAGTGTTTTTGAAATGAATCTCTCTGTGGATTACACAACACATCATGCCTTAAACACAATTAGTGAGGATTCTATTTTACTGCCTTAAATTATAAACACAAGCTGATCAAAGCAATTTTTCACACTGTGTGTAGGTTCAGAGTGTCAGGCTGCATCTCTCTAAGCAAACAGCTAGCCTGAATTCTCAAAGGATGGCAGAAGGTTGAGATGTACTGCTTCTACAAAGACAATTATTTAAGAATGACAATTCAGATGAAACAGCCCCAGTCCATCCCAAAATAAAAAAAAAAACCCACATTTTTCTTAAAAAAGTGGTAAAGTCAACACCTTCTGCCCCTGCTGTGAGTCTCATTCTCACCAGCCAGACAGATTAAATTTCCACAGTGGGGGGAGTGACACTGCAATCCATTTCACACAGGAGCTGTCCACTTTATTTTGCATGCTGCAAACCAATTTCAAACAATTTTAGCCAGCATGGCCCTTTCTGTCCTTCTCCGAGTCATATGAAGACAAAGCTCATTAACAGTGGGGACAGCACAGCAGCTGCTTGGAATTACAGCAAAGAGTTTTTTAGAGCTGAAATTAATTAAAGAAATTCCTCCCATGCATAAAAGGGAATTTGGGAGAGAGCAGAATGGTAGCTCTTGATAATTTTTGAATATTTATTGGTAAACAAATCTGGCAGTGGAGGCAGAGCACAACCTCTTTTTGATTAAAAAGCTGAGGATCAAGGATGCAGAAGTGAAAGAAGGCCTTTAGAATAAAGCAATTTGTCTTGCATTCCCTGGAGAAGAAGCAAGAAATACATCAGAGGTCTGAAAAAAGGCCATTTCTTTCAAAAAACTGATTCAAGTAAATGGCCAAACACTGAAAGAAATGGGAAATCTGAAGTTATCAGAAGCAGCCAGAAGATTACAAGGTGAGAACAGAAGACTGCCCAACGATAAGGGCTTGTGAATATGAAGGTGAGGAACAATTTGAAAAGCAGACCTGCAGTCCCCTAGCCTACTTTGAAGATGAGAGGAAGTTTTCTAGAGAACAGACACCGTGAGAAAAAACACATGAGGGCAACATGAACTGTTTTTCAGCTGGAGAGTTTGGGGGGCTTTAATGACATATGTAACATCATTATCTCACAGCTTGCTGCAGAGAAGCTGGGCAGTAAACAGTGCAGGTCACAGCATGAGAGGGGAGTGTTTATCCATCAGCTCAGTTTCATTTCTTCCTGACTCCTTTGTGTCAGGGAGAAGGTTTTGTATGAAAATTTTGTTCCTGTGGGTGGAAAAGGAGCCATCATAAGTATCTGTCTTGCTTCTGTGAAAGACAGTAGACTAAAGGGTAGTGCTCTAAGCTTTTCCCTTCCATCAGACAGTAATTTTCACATCCTGCATGCCTGGCTGGCAATTTTCAACGACGGTGCAGATCCATTGTGAATATCTGAGGTGAGCACAGTCCCACGTGAAGAGATTTTTGGCTGCTTTTCCATTAGCCACTTGTACTGTTACACACTGTATTTTCTGTACAATTTTTACTCCATCTTTCCAGATGTCTCAGTTTTTCTAAGCCTGTTTATCTGTATTCTCCTGTGGTAGCAGTACTCATCTGATGCCAGTGATTTCCTCTGCTTTGTAATGAGAGCAGGGTAAGTCTTTACTTTTTTGTCCTCACAGAAATGAGATCTGCAGCACAGAAACTGTTCCTCAGAAATCCAGCTGCTTCTAAATTCCCTGTGTGAATGCCATGACACCAGCCAAGCATCTTGCTATGAACCCAAGTCAAAATTTCCCAATTCTACCTTTGTCATCATGGCTGCACTGAGAGCTGAGCTCCCAAATCCCAGCATGTCAGAATATTTGGATTATAGCACATTGATTTTGGCATGCTGATGCTGGACAATGTGTTCCCCACTAGCAAAGGAGGCCTTTGGACAGAAAACAAGAGGAAAGACATTCAGGGTGGCCCCAGATTAAACATTCTTGAGGCTTGGTAGCTGCCTCTAATTCTTTGTCTACTGAGACCATGATAGCATTGTTAGAGGACTCAGGGAGGCACTGCCATTCCTTCCATGCAGCGCCAACAACCAGGAATTCAGCTCTGGTTTCCAGGAAGAACACAGGCTTTCTGAATATCTTGCTCATGGCATTGTCTTACAGATATTCTGATGAAATAATCAGTTTTCCACCCAATTTCCATGTGTCAATCCCTTTCACTCTACTATGCTTATCAAAATAATTTTTTCTGGTGTTTTGGGTTTTTTTTGTTTGATTTTTTTTTGTTGTTCTGGTGGGGGTTTTTTATTTGTTGGTTTTTTTGGTTGGTAGCAATCACAAGGTTAAAAATGATATGAAAATAACAAGTGAAATGGAGTTTCCTACCTGTGGATCACAGGTTTTGCTAGCATAGACTGGAGAGATGAACATGGCCTTTCTGTCTGTGACAGGTCTTATTACAATCAGTGAGATAAAAAAACCCCTCAGTCCTTTTATCAAAAAGACTCAGTTTGGTCATTGCTGAATTTGGAATCTTTTTACATTTTTTTACTTCCATTTTAAAGTAGATCTGTTACACAGAAAAGAAAAATCCCACTTTTTATGTCAAGAGACTGTATGATAGGAATATAAATTATCTTGTCTTTGGATTCTCCTATTAAAGAGAATCACAGAACCTTTGGGGAAGGGACTTTTCAGATAATTTAGTTCAACCCTCTGCCCAAGCAATGTCACCTCACACAGAATATACCCATGAAATGAAATTTCTCCAAGGATGGAAACCTCCCCAACCTCTGTGGGCAACCAATTGCAATGTTTGAGAACCACCAAGCAGGTTAAGAGCATAATGTTACTTTGGTAGGGATAAAATACCAAGTGGGTAGCACTTTTTAGATCACAATAAACAAAATTCCAGTAACACTGTAAGATGTAGCTGCACTTTGTAGATTAGCTAGTAAAAAAGGAAAGAAAATTATGCTTCTATTTACATTTCAAATTATTTTAGTATGGATCCACTGAACAAAAACTTTTATACTGACTTTGAATAAAATCATAGATTGTTTTAGAAGAATTTGAATTGTCTTGTACTTTTACATACATGTTGCATGAGAGCTGTTCAGTATGGGGGGCTGTAAGACCACAAATGTATAATGATTCCATTCAAATACCGACAGTACCACATTGCAGCTGATTTGTTTTTTCTGGAATAAATGGTTGTGCTTTATCCTCTGAAACCCTGATGCTGAAAAGTCTCACCAAAAAATTAGACAGAAAAAATAACAGAAATGCGGTGGTTTTGTCTTTTCACATCTGAAACAAGAAGTACCTTTTTTTTTTCCCTTCTTGAACTTACAAAGTTATCATTTGGATTGCTAAATTTTATACAAAATAAAATATCTAAATTAGCCAACAATGGTCAATAGCTAACACAGATCAATTTATGTGTCTAGACATGCAACTAAAGTTATGGAGTCAAAAAGCACAAATTATAACCTTTGGATTCATCTGACTCCAAAAGATTCGAGTAAGACCCAACATATGATAAAAAAGAAATAACTGAACTGTGAATTTCTCATCATCCAGGCACAGAGAAGGAACTGCTGACCAAAAATGTAATTATTTAGACAATCAAGTTGATGGTTGCCTGGATGTGCCTGGTGTTCTACCAATGAACTCCCCTCCTGACAAACTGGCTGTCATTTGGTTTAACTTGAGGCTTAATGAGTTTTACTAGAAATCCTAAGTGGGAGAGTTCTTTCACACATTTTTATCTTGTAAAACAAGCTTTCTTCTCTGTGCTGATTTACTCTCCTGTTCTTATTAAAATGACTATTCCAATATTCCAGCATTACTGTAATACACAGTGGAGCTGTTGGGTGAAGTTTGGCTAACAAGTGGTGAAACAAATCTCAGCAATTCAACATCTTGCAATACAGATATTTTTAGCCCACAAGAAACAATCTTTCCCTATTTATACCAAACAAATTTCAAATAAAAAAATAAAGTTAATTTTTTTTCCTGAATAATCTTATTACTAGACTACAGGATACATTGGGACAGACCAATCTTTGTGAATATGGTTCTGTCCAAATTCAGCTGAAATTTCATGCTGTCAT